GCCATGGTGGGCCGAGTTGGAGGGTTGGCTGCCTTGGGCGTGGTGAATGGCCATCGTGCTCTGACGCCCCGGGGTGTTGGAGGGCTGGGCGTTCGCCGACTCAACAGGGTGGTCCACGGCTGTGTTGTCATTGTCAAAGGGGTGAGTGCGTGAGGGGAAATCACTGTCTTCGTCGTCGTTGAAAGAGGCTCCGAGCCCGAGCGGGTGGAGGTCCTCACCTTCGAGGTCATCCGTGGGTGGGGACAAAGGTGCGTCAAGTTCGTCGAAATGGTCGGGACCTGGTGGTTCGTCTATGGGAGGTGGTCCTCATTCTGCACTTGGGCCATGCCCCCCCTGACCGATGGTGGGCGGGTTTGGCGCCATCGTGGAGAGCTCCGCTCCGACTGGAATATCCCGCTCTTCTGTGGGTGAGCGGTAGCGTCCGGTGTCGCAGGTCATAAATGGCGACGGCGGTGGTGTGGAGGACAGCGGCGAACTTGTGGCGCCACTTGGCGGCGTCGGCCGCGCTTTGTGGGATGTTGCGGAGCCTCGCTCCTGAGGTGGCTAGTTCATCAGCATGCTTGTTAAAAGCTTTAGCAATCGGAGTGATGCACTCATCATTGATGACTTGATCCCCCAAGTGGCTTTCTACCTTTTTGGGTTTTGAACGAATCGGGTGTCGCTTGGAACACCTGGTGGATTTTCTGCCAAAGATCGTCTCGCAGCCGGACTTGATGTGGTGGTTTTCCTTGTTGAGCAAATCCTCAAACGCGTCGACGGCCGCCGGGTTGTCGACGAACACGTGTACCGGCCTTTCGGCCGTGGCGACCAAACGAGTCCTGGCGAGGGTTTCTGCCCGTTGTGCGGACTGTGCCAGACCGTGTGCGCGGTCGCACCAGTAAAGCCGGTGGTCAGGCCCAGAACAGACCCCGAAACCAACACTGGCCAAGAGGGGTGAGCTTGGTTAGAGCAAGACCCGTCAATGGACGCGTGCACCCATCTGGCTGCGCGCTCATCGGTGTACTCTTGGTCGGATTCGTTTAAAAGGGGCCCTGGGACACACAAATAAACAGACACATACAACCGTCCCCCATATTTTCCCATATTTTCTGGGTTTTTGTCTTCCCACCCACTTCCCATATTTTCCCACATTTTCTTGGGAATCGACAACTAATAATGTCTGTGTTTTTTCCCCTCCTGATCGTTATTTGGGTCCCCTTGGGGTGGTCTCGGGATGGGCTGTGTCGGGGATCTTCTGACCCGGGTCAATCCATACCCGGGACAGCAGGAAACCAAAAACTGCAGTGCAGGAAAAAAAACTGCAACGCAGGTCTTCCCAGACCCGGGTCAGCCGATATGCGCGGCCGCCTCGCGGCCACGAGCGGCTCGCGAACCCGGTCAGCCAGAGGGGGTCTTCGCAGGATCCTGCAGGATCTGGTGCCCTGGCTGACCCCCGTCTGCATTGACCCCCCCTGGAGCCTCGCGCTTCCCCCGGAGGGGAGGAGGAGGAGGCTGGAGCGTCTGGGGGGGCCAGCGGGGGGAGGAGGAGGAGGAGGATGAGGAGCAGGAGGAGAGAGGAGGAGGAGGAGGGAGGAGGATGAGGAGGAGGAGGAGGAGGAGGAGGGGGAGGAGGAGGAGGAGGAGGAGGAGCTCCTCGCGCACGGCCTGGCGCACGGCCCCTCGAGGCTCCCGACTGTGGGAGCCGGCCTTCCGCCGGGGCAGCCCGCGGGCCGAGAGCAGGGCGGGGCCCTCCGCGAGGAGGCCGCGGGGCAGCCGGCGTGGTGGGAGGTCCTGCCGCTGCTGCTCGGTGGCCATGGCTTTGAGGGCGGCCCTCTGGGAGGGGCTCGGGGGGGACGAAAGGGGTGGGGATGGCAAAGGGCAATTCGGGCAGACACGCAGCTCACGTGGCTGCTTTTCTTGGGCGTGGCTTAATGGGGGGGTCACAAATAGGGGGGTCAGAAACGGTCCCCTTTCGTGCCCCTTTCGGGCCCCTCCGGAGCCCCAGGGGGCTCGTTTAGGCACCGTTTGGGTACCTTTTCGGACCACCCTCGCCCCCCCCCATTTATGACCCCCCTATTACGCAACGCCCAATTTTCCCAGCGCGTCCCGGCGCCGGGAGGCGCCCATGCATCGAAGAGTGGGCCCGGCGGCGGGGCCGAAACCAGCTGCATGCAGCAGATTTCGTACCCCCCCCCATTTCCCTATTCCCCCTTTCGTTCGGCCCGAGGGAAGGAGGGAGAGGGAAATGAGGAGCGGGCGTGAAGGGACATGGCTGCTTCTCCGAGCCCTCCCCGGGCGCGCTCTGACCGGGGAGGGAGGGAAAGAGTGAAGTCGGGCCTGTCCTCCTTCAGGGGGATTGTGGACAACAAAATGAAGAATTGTTAACAAATGCCCCCAGCTGGTCAAAAACAACTGACAAAAATCGTCCCCAGACTATTTTCTGCCTATTCTTGAATACTCCTCCTCTAGAGCTCGCCATCGCTCGGACGTCCACTCCCTGTGCTTTTTTCGGTTTCGTGCGTGGTGTTTTCGCCAAGTGATCAAGGATGCTCCTCGATGGTCCTCGCCGAAGGAAAAATGCACACGTCCGAGCGATGCCAAGAGAGGGACAGGCCCAACGCAAGGAAAGAAGGAGGCGACGCGCGCGGCGTCGGTCCGGCGGTGCCAGCCCCAGGAGGGCGGCGCGGGGGGCCCGGGCCCTCCAGAGTCGTCCCGGGCGACGGGCGGTGGACGCGGAGGTGGTGTGGGCGGTCGGACCCGGTCGGATGCTGGAGCCTGGGTCGGGGAGGCGTACAGTCGGGGCGTTGACCTGAGGAACGAAAGATAAGAAACGAGGCCCCTTTTTCCCATACATGAAACTCAGATGTTCCATGGAAGACCTCGGGCAAACCCAAGGAGCACTGTAAAGCAACTGAGGAACACGGAGCCCCTCCCCAACAAAAAGGGTTCCTTCTTCAAGGCCCCGACTGTAAGGCTCTGGCTCGGGGGGCTCGGGTTGGCCCGACGGGGCCATCGTGAGAACGACGGGACCCAATCTGAAATTTGGCGCGAGCTCCCGCGGCAAACGTCCCACGACAACTGGACCGTCAACATCCAGGACGCGCTCGTCACAAAGCGTCGGCAAACCCGACTTCCGGCGCACTCGAGTCTTGTCTTACGTTTCCCCGACGGGAGGCTGAATGTCAGAGTGCTGATCTGGTGCAGTCTGGAGCTGGATGGGTGGTGGTGGAAGTGGAAGGTCGGGCGCTGGGGAGTGAGGGGAGGATGGGGAGGCAAGTGGTGGGAAGGATGGGGGGGGGAAAGAGGGAGAACGCGGGGACGAGAGCAGGAGCGGCACTCTGGTAGGGGTCAGGAGGGCGCGGCGGCCGGCAGGGCGTAGTCGGAGGGGGCGGAGGGAGCGGGCAGGGCCCGACAGAGCGAGACCTGTAGCTGGAGGGAGAAGGATGGAGTCGGCGACTCCGAGGGGAGTGGTTTGCAAAGGGTGCGGTTTGCAACGCGCACCCTAGGGGGCGGGCGAGGACCTCGGCAGAGCTCTCCGCCGCGCCCCGAGGAGGCCCGACGAGGGCAGCGTAGTGCCCCTCGAGCCCCAGCCGACGCAGATCGCAAACCACACCCGCGCGTAACCGCAGCACTTGTAGTCGCTGATGGGAGGCTGGATGTCGAGACCCTGGAATCTGGGCGCTGCACTTTCTGCACGCCAGGCGTCTTCGCCCGGTTTCGGGCCCCCGGGCCATCACAGCTCGGTCCAGCTCGAGGCATGCAGCAGAAAGATGGGGTCTGAGGCTCTGGTCGTGATTCGTTTGCCATGCTGCATTTCTATCGCGACGTCGGATCTCAGGTGGGGGGAGAAAGAGAGATAGAGCGAGGACTGCAGAGAAACATCGAGACACACAACGAGATATCGGAGGCTGGGGGTGATACTGAAGCGGGACGGGTTCCCCCGACCTGGAACTCGGTGTCAGTTTCGGTTCGTGTCCTGCGTGACGCGTGCAGGCGTGGCGGAGCTGTGTGACAGCGAGAGAGATCCCAACTTTGATCTGGGGCACGATTCCATCACTTGTTGCTTCCAATCGGCGGGCGGTGCCCGGGCCGTCCCGCGGTTTCGAAACGGAGTTGTCGCCTGAATAGCAGGCGGCACCACAAGTCGCTTGTCTTTCAAGGGGGTGCTTCTTGTAGCGAAGAGGACGGCCCGTAGGGACATCTGAGGACGGAACTTGAGACAGGAGGTATATTGCAGCATCGTTGATGCATCTTGAGAACAACATGGACTGTATAAACATACATTTTTGGAGGTCCGCGCGGACTTCTTGGATCTGCGCTGGACCTTCCTTCCTGACGCGCGGAACGCGCCAGGGGCGGCGCCCAAGGCGCCGCCATGGGGGCCCAGCGCGGATCCAAGAAATCCGCGCAGACCTCCGAAAATTAATGTTTATGCACCTGTTCTCTTCCTTCTTAGGGTTTTCGGTCCACCGTGACCCTCCTCTTCGTCTCCTGGGCATCTCTACACGTCGATCGGAAGAAGTAGGTTAAAACATGAAGTAGGAAGGCGGATTAAGTTGATTGGGTTCAGGCCCCCCCAGAGAATAACAAAACACAGCAAGAGCGTGTCGATTCTTGAAGTAGGAAGGCGCTTGAAGTAGATTGGGATCTGGGAATCCAAAAATACCTACTTTCAACGACGGGCGTGTACATGTCCACTGCCCCAGGCCTGGCGCATCCTGGGCCCAGGATGGGCCAAGTATGGGGCAATGGGCACGGTGGGTTCGTGAGGCGTCGGCGCGCGCAAAGGTTTCTGACACCGCGTCGATCGTTCCACCTTGAATCTCAGTCGCGGGCCCGATCGTTCAACATTGAAATCAGTCGGGTCCAGTAGCGTCACCGTGTACATTGATGTTTCCGCGTCGCGAAAGTCAACCTTGAACGCCTTCGCCGGCGTCGTTGGCGCGCCAACGCCGCGCGAACTGCCCGTAATTATGTAGAAATCCCGCCGTCCTTAGAAGGGGGCTGGGCCCCGACCCCTCCGCGACTGCGACAAGCAACTGGCCACCGCCCTCGCGCCCCGGCCGGCGAGGACGAACCGGAAGCGGCGGCTCACCTGCCGAGCGGGGGCGGAAGCGAAGTTCCCAGATCCCTGACGATACTGTATACGTGTGTATATATATATGTTTATGTACAAGCATGTGTATGTCATGTATGTTTATGTGTATGCTTATGTATGTATGTGTGTATGTATGTGTATATATATACATGGATGCACTAAAACCAGGCGCGCTACGCGCGGACTTAGGTTCTAGTCGCAGATGGGCCACGGGTGCCGCTGTGAGCACCGCAATGACCACAACGACGATTTCCAGCGTTCATGGGCCCGTGCCATCGACGCAGAGAAACGCGTAGTCAGAACGCGGGGTGTCGCGTTCCCGCGTATCTCACAATCTCGCTGCCGCTTTTGTTTGCTTTATCGAAGTGCGTTTTTGCTCGCCACTCTCACTTCCGCTCTGTCCCATTGTGTCACTCCATTATTTTGCGCTTTTGTTCGGTCTCCCCATGCCCGATCACGCAGACATCCGCCGGCTCCTGACGTTGGGGTTGGCTCGGGGCCTCGTTGCTCGCGCGCGGGAGCGCGTTGTTTTTGTTCCTCTTCCTTGTGCTCCAGGCTTTTCGTTTTCAGCGGGCGTTCAAATGTCGGGTATCTGCAGAAGGCATGCGCAGATGTCCTGGTCATCGATGCCCTTCTCTGCAATCAGTTGTTGTCGAGTCCGTCCACGGGAGTGGGGAAGCTTCGGGCACCAAACCTCGCCCTGGCGAAAATCGCACCCGTGGGGTCAAAATGTTCGGGCTCACGTGGGATGCTCAATGACTTGCTTGGCAAATCCCATGGATGGGGCTGCCTGGAGCTCTGACGGGGCCTCTGGCGGTACCTTCTGCGCGCTCTGGCGAGGCCTTTCAGGAGGTGCGGGAGGGGCACGGGATCAGAGAAATTGTAGTATAGCCGCACCCCGCTCGCTCGGGCGGGTCCGCCCTGCAAGGGTGGGAGGAGCAAGAATCGCGTGAAATAGTATGGTGTAAAGATGCCCTGCTCTCTCTGGCGGGGGTTTTCCTGGCGCTCTGGCGGGGCCTGCCCAGGAGGGGAGGGAGGAGCACGAAACCTGAGGGAAATAATGGTATAGCCACACCCCGTGCGCTCTGACGGGGCTACCTCGGGTGCGGTGGGAAGAACAAGACAGAACAAGGACTGCATATGGTTTTGAAAGACCCCTCTCGCCCTGCCGGGGCCGCCCTTGAGGGGTGGGAGGGGCACCGCAACTTGTGAAATGATAGGGTGTAGCGATGCCCCGCTCGCTCTGGCGGGGCCTGTCTTGCGCGCTGGCGGGGCCGTCCCAGGAGAGGAGGGAGGAGCAAGAAAGCTGAGGGGTGAGGGGAGGAAGAGGAGGGAGGAGGGAATGGAGGCAAGGGGAGGGGGCGGGAGGGAGGAGGGACGGAGAGGGGAAAGCCCGGGCCATCTGGGCCGTCTTGGAGCGCTTCGGGGCCTCCCGCTCCCAGCTTGGGCCTGTCCTGAGGCTCTCTTGGGCCGTCTGGGGCTCTTCCCGGGCTATGTTCGGGCTCCCTGGGGCCGTCTTGGGGCTCTTCTGGGTGCCTCTTCGGCGGTCGTGGGGCGGTCTTGGGAGCGTCTGCGGCCGTCTTCGAGCTTTTGGAAGCTCGAGAACGCGAGAAAGCGACAAACATCGAGCAACCCAATGCAAACCAATGACTTGGGCCTCTTTGGGCTCTCTCGGGACGTCTCTCGGAGCTCTCTTGGGGCCTCCTGGAGGCCTCTTGGGCTGTATTTGCGGTCTGGAACCCATCCTGGGCCACGTTGGGACTGGCGGGGCTGTCTTGGAGGGGCTTGTCGAAGTCCGGCGGGTGCTTCTGGGCGCGTCTTGGAGCTCTCTGGGGCAGTCTGGGGGCTCCACGGCCCCTCCGGGGTGCGCTGGGCGCGGTCTCGGAGGCCCCGGTCCTCCCATGCGCGCTCGACGAGGCCTGGGTCCTGGGCGCCCGGGCCTCGTGCGCGGGGATATATCCAGAGAGCTCAACTCCCGCGCCTGGGCGTGCCTCCCGACGGTCCATGTGACAGTGGGCCCCCGCAATCAAGTCGACAATCGGACTTCCTCGGCCGCCCAGACCTGGCCCCCAAACGAGCTATTTCACAATGGGGCCCCACTGCCAAATGCGCTGGCCACCTCCTCCCACTGATGAGCCGCGCAAGAGCATCCGGATGACCCCTCACGAGCTTCGTAACGACAGTGGCCCCAGAGGGGGGCACCCTACCAACAGACCATGGAACACCGAATTTGACAACTTACTTTTTCGGCCTCCCACTGCTAGCGCCATCCAAAGCGTCTCCATGGCAATTTCCACCGTTCCTTTTTTGTGTGCTCGGCCATCCCATCTGCATCGATCGCATAATCACCGACAGCCTATTCCCCGCGCCGCGCCCTGCGCGGCCCCTGGCAACTTTCGCGCGCCGCGAATCGCACGCGCCCCGCCGCGGCGCGAAGCGCACGCGGGCGGCCCGCTCCTCCGCGCGCGCGCGCGCTCCACCTGCGAACACGGCGCGCGACGGCCCCATCCTCCCACCCATTCCCCCAACCCATACCCCGTCCCCCGACCCCAGAAAGTGTAACGGTGCTCCGGGGGTGCAGAACGACCTTGGGGTGACCAAACCCCCCGAATGGAACACCTGCGTGAAGAAGGCAAGACCCTGGCGTGGCTCGCCAGTAATGCCGCTCTCCCCACGGGGAAAGCGAACACTGCCGGCGTCCGGCGCCGCCCTCGCCGACCCGAGCACCCCGCCGGGGGTCGGGATACGGCGGGCGTGTTCGCGCGCGCAAAACATGTCGCGCACCTGTCAGACGCTACACCTGGTGATGCGACCGCTGCCAGCGGCCGGGAAGGAAGGCCCCCTCCCCGCACGCGCTGACCTGCGCGGCGTTCTCGCACCTGCGACGCACACGTTCGGCCGACCCGAGGCAGGACCCCTCGCAGCCGGTGCGCATCGCCTCTTGCACGGCGAAGTCCACGCCGGCGCCCGCCCACCGGGGCCCAGGGTGTGGTGGGTGGGAAACAAACCAACAGCAACCGCTGTCGCCAACGCGCTTTGCTCGCACGATCCAATTGCGCGCTCTGATGCGCGCAGTCCCTGCGAGCGCGCGCGGGCGTCCCCTTCTGTCATGATTATGGTTCCCTGACCCGAGCCTCCCCGAGCCTAAAGTCAACGCATAATCACCGACAGCCTATTCCCCGCGCCGCGCCCTGCGCGGCCCCTGGCAACTTTCGCGCGCCGCGAATCGCACGCGCCCCGCCGCGGCGCGAAGCGCACGCGGGCGGCCCGCTCCTCCGCGCGCGCGCGCGCTCCACCTGCGAACACGGCGCGCGACGGCCCCATCCTCCCACCCATTCCCCCAACCCATACCCCGTCCCCCGACCCCAGAAAGTGTAACGGTGCTCCGGGGGTGCAGAACGACCTTGGGGTGACCAAACCCCCCGAATGGAACACCTGCGTGAAGAAGGCAAGACCCTGGCGTGGCTCGCCAGTAATGCCGCTCTCCCCAACGCTGCTCTGGCTCCGCGTTTCTGCACCCCCAACGCTGTTCTGGGTCCGACGCCGCTCCGCAATCGCGCGTCGATGTACACGGCGCCCCGTGTCTGAGGCATGCCCGTGCCCCGCGGCTGGGCCCGCGCTCACCTCTCCTGCGCGGACTCCTTCTTTACGGCGAATCCACTGAGCCTGGCGCGGCACGCTGCACGCCGCGGCCCACCCCCCGCGAATTGCCCTCGCGGAGCGCGCCTTCCGCGCGCCGTAGCACCCAACGCCACGCGTCTAGTAAGCACCCGCGCCACGCGGCCGGGTCCACTCTCACCTCGCCGGTACGAAAACCATTCTCCCGGGCGAAGCTATCCTCGCCGAGCCGCCTGGCACCGCGCGAGTGGACGACTCGGGGGAAGGCCGCCCCCGCGCGCGTACGGCGCGCCGTGAGATCCCGTCCGACCAGTTGCTTTTCGAGTCTACCCACTCGAGCCAGGTGGACATGTCGCAGTGAAACTGGCGCGACACGCTGCACGGCGCGTCCCCCCGCGATTTGCCCTCGCGGCGCGCGCCTTGAAGAAATTCATAAGCTTGACGCTCCGGTCCAGGGTAGCATGGTCGCACCTGCCACTCACGAAGCTGTGGAGAGCGCTCGTGTTGTCAAGCACCCACAGGATGCGCCTCCCTCGGCACCTCCGCGCCTCTTGCGCCAGGACAATGGGGACCATGGCCCCCTCACAGAGGGCGATCGGATTCGCGCCCCTCTCCCGGTCCGCCGGCGAGAAACCCCACTCCGCGAGTATGGCATCGTTGAATACACACCATCCTCCCACACGCTCCCCTGTCAAGCAATCGACCAGGAGGTAGCCGCCTGTGGGCGCGGTCGCCCCGTCAGCCCGCGCGTCGCTTGCGATCACAATCAGCGGACACGAGGGCGGGCTCACGTCGACGCTTCTCTTCGGGGCAAGGTCTATTACAAATTCGAAGTAATCGAAGCACCGCCGAATCGCGTGGGATAACGCCCACGGAGGCGCGTCAGTGTACTGCCTCTGCTTCAGCGGCGCCATCGCGGCGCTGCCGACGCCGTTGAACATCGCGGAGGACGACCACTGCAGAATGCCCCGGAGCTTCGAGGCCTCCGCTGGTGTCAGGCTGTTCCGCGCACGGTGGTCCGCGAGCAAGCCTTTGATTTTGTCAATCATGCTGGCCTTCGGCCAAAAGGAGACCACCCCTCTGCCTTCAAAAACCCGAGACACGTCGTGATCGACTCCCAAGAATGCCCCAGTGGCGGCCATGCGCTGCTGCTTCGCGCTGGCACTCGGGGTACCCAACTCCGAAAACAAGACGTTGAGTAAAGCCTGTCCCGAGCCTTTCGCCAATCCGAGGTCTCCAAGACTGCCATCATCGACGTGCATTGTGTGCAACAATGCCGCCACGCGCCTGGCAGCGGCTTCCAGAAAGGCAGACCACCGCATGAAATTCATAACACTCGACGACAAGCCGAACAGCATGGCGAATGCAGTCAAGTATCG